TCCACTTTCAGTTTGCACCTTCTCTATCTATCTAAGTTCTCTGGTAATACGTTTTTCGACAACTTCATGCAATAAAGTTGAACTGCTAATTACGAATATTAGTAGATCAAGTCATCAACGAAAATGATCTTTTTCTTAAGAGCACTTAATATTGACACTGCCAAACATCATAAAGGCAATTTACAATTTTCGATGTAATAAAAATTTAACTTTGCCAATGCATTCCTGCATAATGGAAGGTATGGCACTTGTGCGATCCACCCTTCATTTTTGTGGGTCGCAAGCCGACATTAGGCCATAGTTGCACGTGTTAGTTTGTGAAATACAAATAATTGAACATAATGCCATGTTCCCACTTACCAAATCTTATTTATCTAATAAAGGAAGTAACTTATGTCAAGTATTAGACAATTTCCACCCCAATTACTCGCCACCCAACAATATTTAAATAGATGGTTCACGATACCAACGGATCGTAAAAAATTTACCCATTTATTGCAGCAATCATGACTCGCTTCGCTCAAATGTTGAAGAAAACGGCACAACACGCACATCGTTATCCTAAAGCCTGTCGTTTATGCAACGGCAGACACCCGATAAGGCTGTGTCCGGTCTACCGCGCGAAAAATCCGGAAGAAAGATTGCGCGAAGCGCTCTTGGGTAAATTCTGCAGCAATTGCTTGGCCATGGAACATCGCACTGAAAACTGCACAAGTGCGGAGAGATGTCGCCGATGCCACGACAAGCATCACACCACCCTTCACCTGGACCCAGTCGACAGGAGACCCTGGAGTCAACCGGTTGCCGAGGAAGAAGACGAGTTGGATGTGATCTCGATTTATGCGTTCGAATCCGGAACGGAAACTCGGTCTTTCCGTCCGGAACCGGAAACTTTAGAACGGATCGAACCCGGAGCAGAGACTCGGCCNAAGACGAGTTGGATGTGATCTCGATTTATGCGTCCGAATCCGGAACGGAAACTCGGTCTTTCCGTCCGGAACCGGAAACTTTAGAAAGGATCGAACCCGGAGCGGAGACTCGGACTCTCCGCCCGAACAGCGACAGGGGAGCGGAAACCCGGACTTTCCGACCCCCACTCAACCACGAGACTCAAAGGTTGGCTGAATCGGAAACAAGGTCTTTCCGATCACGCCGACGAACACGACGAACCCGCGGAGCGGAAACCAGGTCTTTCCGCCCGCCCCAGCAACCACCCCAGGCGAACCAACTTCGTCAGCAGAACGGAACGGTGGCAAGGTATCGCCAGTTAAGAGCGTCCGGCTGNACGACGAACCCGCGGAGCGGAAACCAGGTCTTTCCGCCCGCCCCAGCAACCACCACAGGCGAACCAACTTCGTCAGCAGAACGGAACGGTGGCAAGTTATCGCCAGTTAAGAGCGTCAGGCAGCTTCCGAAACGGGCTCACAGACGGAATAATGCACATGCAAGTGTTACGACCCATGATTTCTATCTCACCAACGGCAGTTATCAAGATCGAATCAGGAGGAAGATTGCATCTTATCCGGGCCCTAATAGACGCATGTACGCCGTCAACTTTGATAGCGCGAGACCTTGCGAGAGACCTTGGGTTACAAACCACTCGAGTAGGGAACCAACGGGGCTGCTTTCTGTGCCTTAGAGGGAAGCACGGCGTTAACAAAAAAGTGGCAACCCATGCGAAAATAATAAATAATACCCGCCGGATATCTACGCCCAAAAGCGTCGACCCGACGATAGTGTCTACATATGTGCACATCAGACTCGCCGACCCGAATTTCTTCGAATCATCTCCAATTCGAATCGTGCTCGGCGCGGACGTGTACGCCGAAATTATTATGCCCGGTAGTCTGCCGACGTCCTTTGGACCCTTGTTGGCCCAAAGTACAATATTTGGTTGGGTACTCTCGGGCGCCTACCGCGCCTAATTAAAAAAAAAATATATATACATAACTCTTTTCAATAACATCTTTTTTTCTTAATCTTGCTTATAATGAATTTTTGTATACGGTTATTTTAGTTTTTTATTTCTAAATAAAAGTGCATTGAATTATGACCACGTCTGTACCTTTATTTCTCTCTCTCTCATCTCCCAGCAGTAGGAAGAAGAACGGACATTAACGCACTGGTCACCGGAGATATTTTGTTTTGCAGTTTTGAGAAAACAATAAAAATGACTGAAATTGTAAACAGACTCAGGTGAGCCTGGTAGCTGCATCGTAACAAATCATTTTCCAGATGTTGNGGGGATGCAAAATACTTTCACTAAAGTACCAAGGTATTTAGTCGATGGGTAAATACTTTCAAACTAAATACTGTATAATTTAGGAGAAATTTAGAGCATTAACATCCCACCTTACACTCACCTCAACTTACTTTACCACAACTCACTTCACCTCTCCTCAAATCAACTCACCACATACAAACTCACTACACCTCACCTAAACTCACCACACCTACTAATGCTACACTAAAATCCACCAAATCTTAACTCACCATAGTTGAACTCATCACACCCGTTCTCAACACACCTCACCTAAACTCACCACACCTCAATTTGAGAACTGTTGCGGGATTTGAGAGATTCTTCAGACTAAATCAGGATTTTCGAGACTATTTCGGGGTTTTCGGGACTATTTTGGAATTTTCGAAGCTATTTCGTAATTCTTTAGGGAATCCCGGAAACTTTGTTTGAGATTTTCGGGATTCTCGGAACTAATATCGGTATTTTCGAAACGACTTTCACAATATTTAGGGATTTTTGGAACTAGCGTCGGGATTTTGGACTTTCGAGATTCTCGGAGTTAATAGCGGGAACTTCGGGAATATTTCGGAATTCTCGGGATTTTTGTGACTCCTGGACTATTTTTGGATTTTTAGGACTGATTTCAAGTTTTTGGGGCTTTCGGGATTATTTCCAGATTTTTTGGACTTTTTTCGGATCTATTGGATTTTCGGGTTCTCGGGAATAATTTCGGGACTGTTGGGGCTTTCGGGACTATTTAGGGATTTTTGGGGCTCTCGGGATTTTTTCGGGATTATCGGGAATAATTTTACGTATTTTTGTGACTTTCGAGACTATTTTCAAATTTTTGGGACTTATTTAGGATTTTTGGAACTTTCGGATCTATTTCGAGATTGTCGGGACTTTCGGGACAGTTTCCTGACCTGGGACTTTTGGACAACATCGGGATTCTCAGGAATAATTTCGGATTTTCGGGATTATTTCGGGATTTTTGGGACTTTTGGGACTTTGGTTTGGATTTTTAGGACTTTCGGGATCATTTCGGGATAGTTAGGACCAATTATGGACTATGGGACTTTCGGAACTATTTCAGGATTTTTGGGACTTTCGGGACTGTTTCGTAATTTTCGGAACTGATTTCAGTATTTTTGGGACTAATTTTGGGGCTTTCGGGAGTATATCGTTATTTTTGGGTCTTTTTTGGATTTTTGAGACTTTCGGAACCATTTCAGGGTTTTCAGGACTATTTCGGGATTTTTGCAACTAATTTCGGATTTTTAGGACTTTCGGGACTATTTCTCCATTCTTGGAATTAATTTAGGAATTTTGGGATTCTGAGAACTAATTCGGGATTTTTGGGACCTATTTTCGGATTTTTAGGACTTTCGGGAATATTTCGGGATTCTCGGCAATATTTTCCGGACTATCGGGGATATTTAGGGATTTTTGGGACTCTCGGAACTATTTCGGGATTAAAGGGAGTAATTTGGGTATTTTTGGGACTTTCGAGACTATTCCCAGATTTTGGGATTTTCAGTAGTATTTCGGGACTGTCGGGAGGAATTTCGGAATTTTTGGGACTTTCGGGGGTATTTAGAAATTTTTGGGACTAATTTAGGAACTTTGGGACTTTCGGTACTATTTCAGGATTTTTGGTATTTTCGGGACTATTTCGTAATTCGCGGAACTGATTTTGCGATTTTTGGGACGAATTTCGGGACTTTTGGGGCTTTCGGGAGTATATCGATTTTTTTGGGACTTCTTTTAGAATTTTGAGACTTTCGGGACCATTTCGGGGTTTTCAGCAGTATTTCGGGATTTTTGGACTAATTTCGCATTTTTGGGATTTTTGGGACTATTCCTCCATTTTTGGGATTAATTTAGGAATTTTGGGACTTATTTCGGATTTTTCGAACTTTCGGGACTATTTCGGGATTCTCGGAACTAATTTCGGAACTGTTGGGACTTTCGGGGCCATTTAAGGAATTTTTGGGATTCTCGGGACAATTTCGGGATTATCGGGGGTAATTTAGGTATTTTTGGGACCTTCGAGACTATTTCCAGATTTTTGGGACTTATTTTGGATTTTTGGAACTTTCGGGTCTATTTCGGGTTTGTTGGGAGTAATTTCGGGATTTTCGGGAGTATTTCGGAATGTTTGGGACTTTCGGGACTATTTCGGGCTTATAATGACTAATTTCGGGACTTTCGGGACTATTTTGAGGGTCTCGGATCTAATTTTGGGAATTTCGGGATTCTCGAGACTAATTTCGGGATTTTCGAGACTACCTCAGGATTTTTGGGACTCCCGGGACTATCTTTGTTTTTGGGCCTAATTTTAGTGTTTTGGGACATTTGAGGCCTTTTAGGGATTTTTGGGACTTATTTCGGATTTTTGGGACTTTCGGGACTATTTTTTGATTTTCGAGACTTTCGGGACCATTTGGGAATTTGGGACTAATGTAGGAACCTTAAAACTTTCGAAACTATTTCAGAAAGTCCCAAAATTCCCGAAACTATTCCCAGGAATCCCGGAAGTCCAAAAGCTCCAAAGTAGTCTCGAAAATTTCAAATTAATCCCGGCAGTCGCAAAAATCCGAAATTAGTCCCAAAAATTCCGAAATAATCTCGAAAATCCTGAAATCAGTTCCGAGAATCCCGAAATAGTCCCAAAAGTTCCAAAACACTCCCGAAACTCGCAAAAATCCCGAAATTACTCCCGACAATCCCGAAATAGACCCGAAAGTTCCAAACATCCAAAATAAGTCCCAAAAATTTGTAAATAGTCTCGAAAGTCCCAAAAATACCTAAATTACTCCCGATAATCCCGAAATAGTCCCGAGAGTTCCAAACATCCCAAAATAGCATCGAAAGTCCCAACAGTCCAGAAATAGTCCCGGAAGATGTAAAAATCCGAAATAAGTCCCAAAAATCCCTAAATAGTCGCGAAAGCCCCAAAAATCCGAAATTAGTTAAAAAATCGCGAAATACTCATGAAAACCTCGAAATGGTCCCGAGACCAGTCCCAAAAAAATCGATATACTCCCGAAAGCCCCAAAAGTCCCAAAAATCCCGAAATCTGTTCCGATAATTACGAAATACTCCCGAAAATCCGAAATTATTCCTGAGAATCCTGACATAGTCCCAAAAATCTGGATACAGTCCCGAAAGTCCCAAAAATGCCGAAATTACTCCCGACAACCTCGAAATCGACGAAAGTCCCAAATATCTTAAATTAGTCCCAAAATCTGGAAAAAGTCCCGAAAAATTCAAATTAATCCCGGCAGTCGCAAAAATCCGAAATTAGTCCCAAAAATTCCTAACTAATCTCGAAAATCCTGAAATCAGTTCCGAGAATCCCGAAATAGTCCCAAAAGTTCCAAAACACTCCCGAAACTCGCAAAAATCCCGAAATTACTCCCGACAATCCCGAAATAGACCCGAAAGTTCCAAACATCCAAAATAAGTCCCAAAAATTTGTAAATAGTCTCGAAAGTCCCAAAAATACCTAAAATACCGAAATAGTCCCGGGAGTCCCAAAAATCCGAAATTAGTCCCAATGATCTCTAAATAGTCCCAACAGTCCCGATAATATTCCCGAGAAGCCCGAAAACTCCATAAATCTGAAATAATAACCAAAAATCTGGAAATAGTCCCCAAAGGCCGATATAAGTCCCAAAAATCGAAAAATAGTCCCGGAGTCCCAAAAATTGCGAAATTACTCCCGAGAATTGCAAAATGCTGCCGAAAGTCGCGAAAATCCGTATATTAGTTCCGAGAATCCCGAAAGTCCCGAAAATCCCGAAACAGTCCCGAACGTCCCAAAAACTTGAAATTGGGCCTAAAAATCCAAAAATAGTCCAGCAGTCCCAAAAATCCCGAGAATCTCGAAATTCCGAGAATTCCGGGTGTGATGAGTTCAACTATGGTGAGTTAAGATTTTGGTGTAGCAGTAGAAGGTGTGGTGAGTTTAGGATAGGTGTGGTGAGTTTGTATGTGTTGAGTTGATTTGGGGAGAGGTGAAGTGAGTTGTGGTAAAGTATGTTGAGGTGAGTGTAAGGTGGGATGTTAATTCTCTAAATTTCTCCTAAATTATACAGTATTTTGTTTGAAAGTATTTACCCATCGACTAAATACCTTGGTACTTTAGTGAAAGTATTTTGCACCCCCAAGGTGCATGAGTACTTTGGACCAGAGTATTTAGCGCCTACTAAATACTTACGTCTTTTGTACTTTGGTATCTAGCAGCTCCTAAATACTCAAGTTTTTCTTACTTTAGTATCTAATAGCTCTTAAATACCTAAATACTTTTTACTTGAGTATTTAGCACCATCCAAATACAAAAGTATTGTTTACTTGGGTATTTAGCAGCTCCTAAATACTCAAGTTTTTCTTACTTTAGTATCTAATAGCTCTTAAATACCTAAATACTTTTTACTTGAGTATTTAGCACCATCCAAATACAAAAGTATTGTTTACTTGGGTATTTAAATAATAATAATAGATTGGCGCTTACACATATGTTAGTGTTTGGCCGAGCTTCTCCTCCGACTTGTGGCGTGCGCCTTGATATTGTCACACAAAGCGGAGGGACCTACAGTTTTACGCCGACTCCGAACGGCGATTGTATTTTTATGAGAAGCTGTTTTTCATGGCAGAAATACAATCGGAGGTTTGCCATTGCCTGCCGACGGACGACCGCTGTTAAGAAAAAACCTTTTTTCTATATTTTTTGCGATGTTGCTTTGACCAGGGTTTGAACCCGGGTCCTGCGGAGTGGAAGCGCGCACTGCTTACCACTACACCACAGCGGCCTCCTAAATACCTAAGTAAATAGTACTTTTGTATTTAGCAGCTCCTAAATACCTAAGTAAATAGTACTTTGGTATTTACAACAACACAAAATACCTAAATACTTTTGTACTTAGTATTTAATACTTAGTAAATCAAACGAT